TTTTTTTTGAAAGATTGAATGGTTTCACTGCAGGAGTTTTCTTGACATGTTAGTGGAGATTCCTTGTCCATAGAAAAAGTAAAAGCAACACCTGACGTAATGTAAATGCTGCTTTTATAAAGGCTGTAGTCTTTAGTTTTATTTTTGTTTGTTTTGTTTTTTTAGTCTGTCTCCAAGATGGATTTTTAACCTCTTGGCAATTTTAAGCCCAAAATGTTTGATGTTCTGAATTGCATGAAGCTTCTGTTGTGAAGTGCTTCCGTGCTGCAGACTTGTCTCTGCTTTGTGGACTGCAGGAGATCTGTTTTGTGGACCCAATTCAAATGTCAAACCTTTGGTGTTGTTGTTATCGTCGTCGTTGTTGTTATTATTATTATTATTATTATTATTATTATTATTATTATTATTACTTTTTCTCAGCAGGAGAATGTTCTTCTTGCTTTGTTGGTACATGTGCATTGTAAACATGCAAAGTTCTTTACATCTATGCAAAAAGTCCTGAACTGATTGTTAGTTCTGTCTCAGAAATACACACCACTTCTTGAAAAGAGGAAAAAAAAAATAGTAATGTACGCACACAGTTTAAAATCATACACTTATTGTTTGAACCTTGAAAACCAGTGTTTTAAAGTTTTGGGCCTCCTATTTCAGTATTTTAGTGAACTGAAGGATCTGATGGGTCTGCATTAACACGGCCTCATTCTTTCAATAGTTTTAACACTAGACCGTGCATTAAAGCCTATTAGCATCTGTTTGTGTCATTTAGTAGAAAACGGATCTTGTTTAAGTCCACACTACGTTCACTTGTAAACTATGCATAGCAGTATTTATTTTTCTATTTATACTTTTTTTTTTTTTTTTTTTTTTTTTTCCCCCATGTTTCCTGTATTCAACATATCCTGGGAACTGAATTTACCTTTTATTTACTGGCCATATTGTCTTTTCACTTTCTGGCCAGTTAATGAACCTCTTTCAGGTCTCTGCTGCTTAGTTCTGGCTTTAAGAGCAAACTTTAAAAAAAAAAAAAAAAAGGTGCAAATACTGTCACATGCTGCGCTTCTGCTTTTCTTGTGTTGCTTTCGGTCTTGTGGCTGGAACTAGTGAAAAAGGAATTGGACACCAAAAGTTAAGAGTGCATTTGTCTGTTTGGCCCACTTGCTCAGTGCTTTTTGTGATCTCAGCTGTTAACTACGGTTTCATATTCCACTTAATTTTATAGATAAGTTGTGTTTTGTTTTGTTTTTTTTGTGTTTTGTTTTTTTGTTAAACTAGAATATTTTTAATTGAATAAATATTTCACACGAGAAAGAATTTTATTTTAATGCTTGTTTAGAGTATGCTTAGTCTCTTTACCTTGTTTCAAACTATTTCAGCAAAATGTGTTTCTGATTATACAATACACATTTATAAACAGAGCACTGCAACCTAATCTCTATAATATTTTGTATTATCATTACTGCACAGTTTATTAAAAAAAAAAAAAAGGGGGGGGAATTTTTTTTTGTTTTTTTTTTTTTAATTTAATAAAGGAATTTGAACCACCTATCCCACCTTTCTGAGTGTCTACATGAGTAATGAGATCAACTGGTGGGGGTGGAGGGAGGAATACCAGAGGTATGTACTTAGTGCCTTCCACAAGGTGGCAGAGTTGTACTTGTAAGCTTTTCACTGACGTACAATCATCAACATGACCATCCTTTTGCCTCAGTTGGACCTTCAGAAACCAACATGTAAATTTGAGTCATTCCTCTTGCTGGAAACCAAAACCATGACATGGTAAATCTAATCGGGCCAGGCTGGAGTGGGGAAACTATGGTAACCATCTCATCATTAGTAGGAGACCTTTACATGGCGAACATTACATTTAGACCAGTGGGAAGTCACGATTGCACTAAGGAAGTGTATGTGTTTTGTGGTGGTGGTAGGGGGGGCATTATCATTATGTAACTGATGACATTTTTAATAGAGGAACTGAGCCTGATGCCACCGATAACTTAAACTACAAAATTAAAATGACTCATATGTTCAAGGTTTATTAGGATGAGTAGTACTCAGGCTGCAGTAACAGTTGTTATAATGCATTTAAGAGTTTTTGAGGCAACCCTGACAAAGTGAGGTTATATCAGCTTTGGCAAAAAGACATTTTCAGGGAAATCTTGTGTCCCAAGAGTTTTACTCATTTTAGGATCCTAACTGAGTGAGAAGTACTAGCATAGAATCTCTAAATACTTAGAAAGGAAGGACTGGTGTTTTCTTTCTTACCACAAGACACAATGGACCATAGTGACACTGTTACAAAAACAAATGATCAAAATAACTGAGAAGTGATCATATCATGTAAACAGCGGCATTTTCCATCTGAAGCCACAATTTGCTAATGCAGAATATGCATTTGATTTCCAATAATTTGTTGAACCCAAAGGTGAACATTACAGTACAGCAATTTATTAAAGTCTGCTTGTTATGAAGTTGTTGGCCCCTGTGAAGGACTTTCTAATGTGGGTTTAAAAAAAAAAAAAAAGACATCAGTATTAAACTTGTCAGTGTGTTGATGTCTTATAACTCAGTTACTCTTTTTGGGCATTGCTGTATTTCCAGTCTTTAGGATTACTAACAATTATTTTTTGGGACATTGGGACAGTGTGGTTTCAATGCAGTAGACCCATGTCAGCAACATCTGTAATTACATTATTAAGTAGTCTAGAACATGACAAGTTGGACTGGAGTCCTTATGAATTCTCATTTGCATCTTTTCTTGACATCATGATTTTCTTTGAGGCCAAGAAAAAGTTATTAGGAGACGACAAAGAAGTTAATGATATCCTGAAATTTTAAATTCCCCTAATTGTATCAATTATATCAATGTAGAGTACCCACTTAAAACTGTCGTTTTTAGCTGTATGAATGTCTGAAAATGATTTTCTTTCTTACAAGAGATTTAACCTAAATCTGTCGAGCATCAAATTTGACCTACTTTTAAATCATTGCACTTACCATTTTTCATTCCATGCAAACATGGCCTTAGTACTGAAGTCAGCCTATATTTAGCTTTCTGTACTCTCAACCCCACAACCTGTACAGCCCATACTCTATACATTATGAGCAGAGGCCTACACGCGCCTGTCGCCAGCTAAAAGTAAAAACGTTACGAAAGCCTGGAGAGACGGCAATGGGGGTGAACATGAGGAGGTGCTGTCATTTGAAAAGGCACTTGTTTATTGTTGGAGAGCATGTATTTATTTCATGCCTCCACAGATTGTGGGTAAGGGCAGAGCCGACTCGGTCGCTGTAATTAGAGAGGTGAAGGGAGAGAGAGAGTGCTCTGCCACAGAGACCTGCTTCACTCAAATATTCATAGTCCTATGAGAGCTGTGTAACACTCTCACTAGCACACCCCCCCAATGAAAGTATTGGCACATAGGGAGGGAAACCTGTCTAGTCTGGTTTAATTAGTCTGATATGCAATCATGCATCATAAATTATAATGAAAGGATGCCGCGCTCAGCAGCAAGTTTTATTTTTTAACCTAAGTAAACCCCTATTTCCTTTTTCCTTTTCTTCTTTTACGTCTCTTTTTCGTCTCTGTCGGCCTTGGAGGTCCCTCTGATTTGGCCCCGCTAATAGGGGGTCTGCTCTTCCTGTTCAGTTTTACCAGTCAGGGAGGGACCTCCATTTCGCCACCCAGTCACACCATCTCTAGCACACACAAACATTTCAATTATAGTGTCAGTGGTTACATGTGAACACATGAATAGGCGCACATTGTAAGGAACGTGTGAATCCTTTTGAGCTTGCTGGAAATCTGCATACGGTGTTTTTTACGGTTGGGCTTGATGTTTTGGTTCCTAACCCTCCTGTTATAACTGAAATTTTTCATGTCTATGAATAAACCTTGCTGCCCTGAAAAACATGCCCACCAACATTTACTTGAAAACTGAAAAAGGGTTTATCAACAAAACACCTCGAGGCTAAAAATTTCCATACAGCTAAATTTATCCCCAATCTTCCCAAAAATGACTCAAGAAATAAATAAACAGGTTTAAGACCTGCAAACCAATAGTACACATGTGGGAGAAACCTAAACCCAAATCAGGACCGAGCATGAAGTGTTTAAAAGCCATAAACTGAACATTTTCCCTTTCTTCTGGATCTACACTGATGAGTTAAAGCTTTATGCTTTCTACACCATGATGATAGGTTAGACTATAGTAACATACTCCTGGTCAAGGGTGGTATGGCGTATTCTCATCAGTCACGTTCACCATGGCTATGGTAGGGCTGGGACTATTTTAGATTTGGTGGTTTGTGGCCATCTCAACAAGGAAATATCTACCCTGTGGTATAGGGAGCTTCTTTAAGACACTTGGAACTGGGATGTTTGAAACTATTCTGGATCCAGAGTCCTTCCTGTTGGCTACATTTACATTTCACCCTAAACTTGTGTAACATCATGAGGGTACAGTTGTGTACACCTTCAGCCTATCAGAGTGTACAAAATATAAAGGGACAAAAAAAAAGAAAACTAAAATACTAGCTAAAATAATAAAAATACGATTGTGGATATATACAAAGTCAATTTTGTCTAAAGTATTAAACCATGTGTCTTGAAATTGATGACACTGTGGGTGTTGGTGACAAATTTCTGAAATATTTACCCGCAGATTAATTTGTCTATGAAGCACACAATGTTTTATCTCAGAGCTTATTCAGCAGTGCTTCAGAGTATTCATTCACAGTTATACAAAAATGTCAACCAAGAGAAATCAAGTACAAAGGGA